CACTCATCAGCTGATGGACACTTAGATTGAGTCCATATCTTTACAATTGTGAATTGAGCTGTGACAGACCTTCAGGTGCAGGTGTCTTTTTGATACGATAACATCTTTTCCTCCGGTGGATACCCGGTATTGGAATTGCAAGGTCAGATGGTAGGTGCTCTGCTCTAGCTCTTTGAGGAATCTCCATACGGATTTCCATTCCCACTACATCCCTGCCAACATCTCATTTTTTGACTTTTGAATAGTGACTATTCTGACTGGGCTGATGTGGTATCTTACTGTGGTTTAATCTTCATTTCCCCGATGATTAGTGATGTGAAGCATTTTGTCACGTGTTTGTTGGCCATTTGTACACTTTCTTTTACACATCTAATGTTGCTTGTCTTCCTTCTGGTGGGGTTATTTTTTTCTTCCTAATTAATTTGCATTCCTAGGGATTCTGGATATTAGTACTGTCTTGGATATTATGTTTATATTTTTAGCACTTACTATAATAGCTGATATATCATAGGTGCATAGTAAATGAGTGCATTAGTGAATGGACGGTCATCTTCTGTCTCTCATTCTCTAAGATGTTTTCCCCCAAATCCCAAATGTGCTCTATTGCTGCTCAGGACAATTTTTATCAGGCCTTTACACTGTAACATGTGGTTTTGTATATTTTATCCTAAGTTATCTCAGGTTGTGGAGAACGTCTTTCACACAGTGTTAACTCGCCCGTGCTGTTATCAGTTACCAGATACAGCCTTGGGCTTTGTGTGTAATTTACTCAAGTCCTCTGGTGAAACTCCGTAGCCTACCCATAATCACACACAGTGATTCCTTCACCTCAAACCAGCTGTGCTTTTCCTATTACTACTTTGCCTGTAACTTAACTGTTACTTGTGGCTATCTGTTGGCCTAAATTGTCTCAGCTTCTTAAAGTTGAAACCCTAGCTCCTCGGTTTTGGTATTTCCCAAAGCATGTAGCACAGGTCTGCTAGTCCCAGGGTAGATATGCACCGACCTGTTCCTGAACTAGACCATGAAGCTGCAAGGATCTTGCCAGATATCACCAACTCATGGTAGGCAATTATGGGGAAATAGCTGAGGTTTGCCTCCTGTTCCCTGCTCTTCCCTCACTTGGCTGGTACATGGGAGAAAGGTGGGGCTGACCCATCCCCATGGCAAGTTCATAAATATAAGGTTACTGTTTGATATTTTCCAAAAGTCTTTGAATTTTACAGTAATTCAGGGCATAAACCACAAGTTCAATTGCAATGAAGACACATCAGGATTTGTCCTAGTGTATGAGTGCAATTTTGAAAGCACTGGACCTTTCCAGAGGTCCCAAGTCATACTACTCACAGCATTATACTTTCAATAAAGCTTTCATATGGACAAAGGTGGGTCGTGTCTACAGTTATATTATTCCTCACCATCATTAATGATGGGCCACCCTGTGGACCAAATTATGGCCCTGCTCCAAATAGAGAAGGTAATGATGGTCAAATGAAGTCCTTGTCCAAGAGGACTGTGGCCGTAGACAAGTAAGAAGGAGAAATGAGAGGAAGAGACAGAGGAAGGTCTTACTCTTTCTTTCTCCACCATATGAGGACCTGGGGACAGGGCAGGGCCGTCTGTAAGCCAGGAAGACAGCCCTCACCAGGAACTGACCTGGCTGGCACCTTGAGCTTGGACTTCCAGCCTCCAGAGAAATTTCTCTGGTTTAAGCCTTCCCATGCGTGGTGTTCAGTTAATGGCATGGGTCCGACAGGTTGGTTCCACTCAGTCAGCCCTGGAAGGCCTACTGTCTGTTAGGCTTTGTGGAAGCAGGGACGTGTGAGTCACCATTTAAAGAACAATGAGACATTCTTCATGAAAGCTAAGAGCACCGATTTTACACATACATGAGGTTTTCTGACATCTCAGTAACCCCTTCCTTGTGGGGAGGAGTTCTCTGAAAGTTGTTTATCACCCAAACTCCTAGAGAGAGCTGAAGGAGGTCAGGCTACTCAGATGTGTTGCCAAGGGGTGTTTGGGGACAAGTTGAGGTAGCCCCAAATGAAAAAATAAATAACTTCTGGGCAATTTCCCAGATCCTCCAAAAATGAGCTTGCACAGTGAAGCTTTGTTTCAATTTACATACATACACATATTCTTTAAAGATAAAGTGAATTCCCAGAACATGGTATAGTTACATTTATAAACAAATAAGTAAAACAATTCAAAGGCCAAACCCAGTAGTTTTTTGTTTTTTCTTCAAATTAATTGTGGTCATTTTGAAGGCCATTGAATGTCTGCTCATGTATTAGTGTGAAATGTTAAGAACTGGCTGTTCTCATTAAAGTATAAACTGCTAATTGGCTTTTAAAATCTTCTGAAGATATTATGTAAAAAATAAAGCTATTGCTAATGAACTCATTTCTATTTAAAAAAAAAAAAAAAAGCATGGCTTAGAAAGCCATGAGCTAAATTAGCAGTTACTTCTAGGCAATAAAATTATGGATAATTTTTTTTCATTTTGTTTTACTGTTTTTTAAATATCCTCCAAATGTGCGTTTTTTATGAACCACAAAAAATATATTTTTAAAATCTTTCTGATCTTTCAAGACTCCTTTGACAGCATCTGAACTAGACTTGCTGCACTTATCCTAAAAGTACGGTAGGGTTTTCAGTGTAATTACACCTCCCTGGTGGGACCCCAACCAGCAGGGGCTTGATACTGAGCTGTTTGTCCCATCCCTTTGTGGATGTCAGGGATCAGCCACAGCACCCAAGGTCTCAGGCTGCCCCCCAAATCTCCTCCACTGTCTCCTAGCCCCTGAGTCTGACGCTTGTCCCCTGGGAGGGAGAGAGGCCAAGGTCAGCATGTGTCCAAGGTGAGAAGGGCAGGGGGCCTTTCTCCTGAAGAGTGAGTGTTTGTACAGGAGCTCAGGTGCAGGAGCACATTTGGGAGAAGGCTGCGTATCTTGGGAGGACCGAATCTGAGTCGGGAGGGCTTTAGGTGTAGAGTAAGGACAGGCCACAGAGGAGAAGGGCAAGCTCTTCGTCAGCTGAAGGCTGGCAGCAACAGATTGTAGGGCATCCAGGACGGAATGGACAGCTAGGAACCAGGTGTTTGGTGAGGCTCTGCACTTGCCTGGAACACCGCAACGCCAGACACCTGCCCCTCTGGGGCTGATCTGGCCCTTGGTCCAGGGCCTTGCCTTGACCCCTCTCTGCAGCCTGCTTGGTTTCCCTAACACCATTCAATCTCCTGAAGACTAGGCCCTCAGTGGGGAACTTGTCACCCCTTTTGTGTGAGATGCTTCTGTACAGAGATAAAGCCGTACGGTGAGGTTTGCCAGGTCACCTGCTGAGCTGGCTAGGGAACCTCCCACTGCCCAGAACTGGCTAGGGAACCTCCCACTGCTCCACATACAGAAGAGCCACTCTGGTGAGTGGGTGCTGTGGGAACTGCTGCCGGCTCACAGGGCCCAGTCTGGAAGCGCTGGCCTGGTCCACTCAGCCCGTATGCCTTCCTGGCATTCCGGGTCATATTCGGGGCTCACCACAAGGGCTCAAGTGCCGCCCTGGCTGCCCATGTGTGGGAATTTGTTCCTTCTGAAATGATTTGGTTTGAGGACACTGAGTACCCAAGACATTTGCTTTCACTTTAGAATAGAAGAGTCCCTTTCCTGATGCTCAGTCCCCTCCGTGCTGCTGCTGAGAGGGCTGTCTGAAGTGGACTCACTGATGGTTGACAGCTTTGTGGATTTTACAGTGTACTTGCCTTTAGCAATCAGCATTTGTGAAAGCACACAGTTACTTTAAACATACACCAGGGATAGACTTCATTACATTGAGCCTCCGAAAGAGGCAATATAAAAAATATTTTAATGTGCACGTTAAAACAGGTTTAATATATTTGACCAAGAATCAGGAGCATCGTATATGGCAAACAAATCTATATATTTCTTTAAGAGCTAAAATACTACTTACACACTCCAGACCAAACCTTAAAATTTTACAACATGACTGGCCTCTGTCTAAACAGCTGATTAAATTGACTCCTTTCACCAAGAGGGTGATTTGTGAGATGAATTATTGCTGAATAGAGGAATACTGATACTTTGCTGATTGTTTTGACATCTATCTACCCAAGGACTAGGCTCCAAACTCTGGATAGAGATTAAACATGAGCCCAGATTTCAGATGATTCAGCCAAACTTCAACTTGAAAGAAAACACCTCACTTCTATAATGTTTAACAATAAATAGTAGATGATTAGTACTTTCTAAACCAATATATTCAACTTATATATGATCTTTCTAGGCTTCTATGAGACAAAATTCCATTCATGTTACTACATTTAAATTTAAGCAATAATTATGTACACCTACAAATATTCACTCTTAACACTCACGTAAGATACCTCGGTTAAATTATTCTTTGCTTTCTCAATAAAACAAAATGTATTTACAAAACTAACATTCATCTTTAAAGCTAAAAAAGTAAAACAATGTACAGTCTGAATTTAAATGCTCTAGTAATTCTAAAAGTCCTTGTTTCTACCCTTTAAGAAAGATGGATATTTGAATATTTTAAACTTTAAGTCTCCTTCTCAAATACTGACAATGAGTGAAAGAAGAAAGGCTAGAAATAGATAAAATGTATTTGAAACATCTTATTTCTTCAGTGCAATTTTGTTGTGTTTTATATTGTATTTTCCTTTGGGGGAGAGAAATACAGTTTCCTTCCACTAAAGAAAAATTCCCTCCAACTCAAAGGATTTAAACTTCAAGTTCGAATATGTTGATTGCGCACCTGCTGTCTATGAAATAATGTCTTCGTGTTTTCACCTGTGTGATCTTTCCTCCTTTGCTAAAATTATTCTCTCTTGAGGGTCAGCAAGGTGAATTCATGTTAAATAAGTAAAAAAATTGTTTTTGTTTATGCTAATTATGTGAAGGTAATCATAGCTTGTGAAGGGTACTATCAAGAGCCAGAGGGGATTAAAATATAAAAAACCTCTCTAATTCATCTTCCTCTAAAAAATACTGTAAAAGAAATTAAATGCATAAAATGGGAAATATCAGGCAACCTATCCTATTCTGGATGAGACACAAACATATTTACGTTGAATTACAGCAGCTGAAACATTTCATTAGAAATTTTATCTTTTGACAAAGAAAAGCAAAACCTTTCAAAATCACCAAGTCTTGCACATGGATTATTAAGCTGAAAGTCTGTACTATGCTTAATGAACTCTGGCAACATGTAAATGCCATCTAGTGAGCAGCACTGGAACTGCAGCTGAATTGAAATTACTTTTTCTTTGCTTGGGTAAAAAAAAAAAAAAAAATTCCATGATGTCACATTTTTGAAACAATAATAGGAAATTATCTTTTTCCAGGCAATGAGATACTGTCTAGATTATGTAAACAAGATGCATGCAATATTTCCACAAGGATAGGATTTTGTTCCTTGACCTAATTTAAGTGACACTGTCCCTCATGCTCTCTTTCCTCAAGCTAGAAAAGGCAGACACTGATTTTCTCATACTGACCTAGATTGTGCCTTACTTCGGTTGACTCAGAGTTAACTGAGATGGCTGATGTTGGCCCATGGTTTCATTTAATAAATCAGGCACACTCTCTACTCATCACCATGTTCTTTCCTGAATGGGTCTTCCAGCACCTCGGCAGGGGCACCCCTGCCAGTCCAGCGGCCTCACTTCCCAGCGATATGGGACTCCTCCTTCTCAATTAAGCTCTTATATTTTTACTTGACAGCCTCACGTGGCCTGAATAATAATATGTGGACAAAGCAAGGTAATTTGGCTCCCTCATCAACCGTCTCGTGCAAAGTGGAGTGTCTCTTGGTTTTGCTAAGAATCACTGAAGAGAAAGGTCTGCAACAAAAATATATTATTATTTAACAATAATTAAAATTCAACAAATAGCTGCTGTGTGCTGGGCAGTACCACCCTGCCTTTATGGGAATTATTATCTCCTTCCAGGTAGTCACTGAAAACTGGTAAGATAGTCACTTATTGTTCTTGAAAACATCTGTTGACTATTTCTATACTTCTGGGTAAAAAGTCCAAGTTGCAATGGTGCGAGGCTAGAAGAATAAAAAGCATCACAATCGGCAGAAATAATTCGGGGAGATATTTTGTAACATTCCCAGATGTAAGAACTGGGTAATTAGCAGAAAATGTTGAGTAGGTCAAATAAACAAAATTAGGTGAAAAATAAAATAGCTTCCAAACTGATATATAAGAGTGACAGAAAAACATTGCTTAAAACATTTTAATCCAAACTAAACATTGCTTTCAAAGATATCCCTGGAGCTATTTCTTACAAACACATCTTTGAACTCGATTTGAGATCCTATGTATAGATGGCTTATCTAAGCTTTTTAGCTAAATCAAATTCAAAGAAAGAAGTCCTTTTTCAATAACACTGAGATAATAGATCAATTAAGTAAACACAATGGTTTTCCACTGTCTGTGGATTTCATTTATCCAAGTTATTTGTGTGTTCTGTGACCACAGATAATCAGATGTCACGTGCAGTGGAAATCAGATTTTCAGCCATGGAGAAATAAATACCAGCGCAGTTGCGTTGCTGACAGTCTCAGGCCACACTGGGAGTCTCTTTTCCCTGCTGGTGGGTTGACGTCTTCTTCCATTTCAGCTTTACCAATCCAGCTTCAGGTCTGCCTTGCTCCACACGTATTTTCCTCCTCGCTTCAGAAACATCTTTTCGTCAAATCCACTGAATTTTATGGCTTCCTCTACTCCAACATCCAGGATGGACTTGGAAGGTTCTTTCCGTCCATTTCTGCAGTTCAGGAAGCGCATCTAGGACATTCGTAACAGAAATGGGCATATTTCCGGGTACGTTATGCTATCAAGCTCAAGGTAGGGTTTTAATTCAAACAAATTTTGATATTCCAATCATGTAAATGAATGATTTTTGAAATCGGTGGCCAGATACTGAACCAATTGGATCCCATGTCTCTACTCAATCAACTCACATTCTAGTGGAAGAGGCTGCCATAGATAAGTGAGATCGGTGAAGCACACAATAAACAGAATTAATTATACGGGCCCTATGTGAGGTGCGTGTCTCTCCAATGGAGGAGAAATCAGGAAAGCCTTCCCCCAAGTTTTGACATCTGAATTACATTTTGAAACTTGTAATCCAAAGGCACAGTATTATAAAAATCATAGAATCATGAATTGATATGATGCACGTGGGAAACTGCAGCTAGGTGCTGTTTCTGGAAAAAAAACCTGTGTGCATGAGTGTATACATGTAAATACTAATAAACACTTCTTTTGAGAATGGGGGGAGAAAGACCCCCCCAAAAGGTGCTACTGAGGCAGACAGGAGCCAGGTTGAGGAGAGTCTCATATGTCCTGCTGAAAGTCTCTATTTTTGTCTTACTCTATCCATTTTTGTTTTTTTTAGCCTATCCTATTTTACCTTATAGGCAGATATGGGGTCTTTACACATCTTATGACCTACACTGAGCATTCTGTAGGAGGTCAAGTATTATTGGTTGATGCAAAATATTAGTACATTTGCAAAAGCAAATCATGGCTCAACTCAGTCCGTTCCAACCATGTGGAATGCAGGCAGTTTGTTGAGGGACCCTGGTCAAAATCCCCAGCCAGTCATTATAATTTGCATCCCCCAAATAAATTGTATTTTCCTCCAGACCTCAGACCTAGAAAATGAACACTTTCATTACCCCCTTTCCTTGTATGCTCTATAAAGAAAGCTCACATTAATACGAAAAGAAATGGCTACATAGACTCATTGGCCAACTTGAAAATCACAAAATTCCTAGAGTTACAGTAAGTGTTTCTCAGAAAAACTAAACTCAATTTAAATATTGAACCCAAGGTTGCTGTTGGAAATCATTTTATAAAATGTGTTTTGAGTGAGATTATTTACCCTCTGCTAGAAATATTGGCAAGGGTTATAAATCCGGGGTGGGGGAGACAGAGGAAAAGGGAAAAGTAATTCAGTATTGAATTTTGAGAAGGGCAGGTTTTCCTTTTCCTTTAGAAGACAGAGGGGGGAGGAGTAACACCAGTGGTGTTTGGGGAGGAACCACAAGACAGTCTCTGCCAAAGCCAAAGCTTATTGGAAAAAGCACGAGCGAGCTGCGTCAGGGTTACTGAAGATAACTGTGGAGTGCCTTTCTCCAAAGAAACCTGGGTGCCCTATCTTGGGAGAACCTCCAGCCCAAGACTGCATAGCAGACAACGCTGCTGCTGTGTGTGATTAACAGGTTTAACGTGACATCCCTGTACCACTGTGGGGAGGTGCTTAGTGCAAATGCTGGGACCTGGGTTCTGCTGATGCCCGGGGACCTGCCTAGCTCCACACTCATCACAGGAAAGTAAGGGTTGTCCTACTGAGTGCAATCACCAACAGTAAGACTGGTTAAGGGCAAATATGTGCTAGGTAGTTACACTCATATAACTCGACTCCGGCATCACAGCTTAATCAATTTAGAAATACTCACATATTCATCCAGAATGAGGTAGGAGTCTTTCATCTGCAAAGGAGAAATCAAACACATTAGTTTCAAGCGTGCTGTTGAGCATGTGTGCTCAGCTGCCCGTCTTACAAGGTATATGTGCCGTGTTCCCTGATTCTGATTTGGTGTGTCTCATCTCAGATGAGTGCTTTTTGGTACGTCCCCTGCAAGGTGAGGATCTATTTGTGGGCACAGCGTCAACACACTGGAACAAGTCTGGATGCTCTGCCCTTTGCGGGAAGAGTCAAACAGCAGAATCTTTACCCTGAAGTCTTCTCTGACAGTAAAATCCCAGGCTCTCCCCATTGTTTCCTGCATGGGGAATCCTTTTCCTTACCGCTCCATATTCCTGCTGACTGTGTCCACATGTATCTAACCTCCCTGTTCTCACTTTATAAAGCAGAACTTTTATAACGCTAGTAGCTGGGGGGCTTAAGAGTAGCTTTCTTGAGGACTTTAATATTACTCTAACCCTACTAATAGTTTAGCTTCTGTGGGTATCCAGACACACACCTGTACTGTCTGTGGGTGGTGGTACCTCCCATACCTACACACAGAGGTGGGGTCCATAACCTGTTTTCTGAAAAGGGCCGAGAATGAATATCATCTGCTTTACAGGCCACCAGTCTCTGTCACAAGTAATCAGCTCTGAGTCATAGCCCAAAAGCTGCCACACCCAATGGGTGTAGCTCAGCCCCACTGAAACTTTATTTATGGGGGCTGAAAATCGAATTTTACACAATTTTCACTGGTCAAAAATGTTATTCTTGTTTTGATGCTTGCCACATCAATTCTTAGCTTGGATCCTGTACTAAAAAAGGTGTCAGTTTATACTAGTCACAGCCTGCCTCTCCTGAGCAGGGCCTGGTGTGTCCTGCTATTTAAAGTCTGGGTGGGGGTTGGACTCAGAGTGTCTACACCAGACAGGTTATAAGAGCAGAGCCCTGGGCTGACCTCAGACCTGCAGAACTGAGTTCAGTCCTTTTATCAGATCCCAGCTGATTCGGATACAAACTCAAGTTTGGAACACACTGGCTGGAAGGATCCTGGACTTTGCGGTCACTAAAATCCTGGTTTTGCCACTCACATAAGTCAGACCAATGAATGCTTAAGACTCAGCCTCTTTGAGTACACAATAGAGACAATAAAACCTGGCTCATGAAGTATTTGTGAAAACTGAGATGAGCAGATGGGTTAATGGTCTGTCATACAGAAGGAGGACTCAATGACACCACAGTAACATTGATTATAACTGCCATATTTCCCTGGATCTCATATTAACTACACAATTAAGACAGAATGTTAAAAATCAAATAAAATAGAGCAGAGATAGGAGAAATTTTCCTTCTCTATCCTCTTTCTTCTTTTTGAGAGCCATCCTGTCCCTTAGGCCAGGACCTTCTTATTTATGCTCCCTTCGACATTGCCATTTAAACTCTAATCATTTACCGAGACCCACAGAAGTCAAAAGTGTAAGGAAGGAATTTCTGTTCTTGGAATTTCTAACAGTACATAAGCTTATGGAGGAGAGATTTTTCTGCATGTGTACTTTGGGGTGGCAGATGGGAGAAACTGTTCTTAAAATGATTTCTTAAATAATAAAACTGATACTTGTTTTACAAATTTTTTAAGTCCAAAAAAGTTATAAAGGTAAATAAAAACTATGAAAGTTTCACTACTCCAAGATAACCATGGGGATATGTATAGATGCATTTGTGTGTGTGTGTGTGTGGGAGGCCCTTAGGATTTAACTTCAGTTTGATTTTGTATTCTGTTTTTCTTTTGTAACCAATGTCATAACATTTTGTTGTGAGAATTTATCCTTATCAATTAATAGTCTTTAAAATATGCTCAATAGATGGTATAACATTTCATTCTGTAAACATAAAGATTTACCTGTTCTTTATAGGTGGAATGTTAGGCAATCTTTAATTCATCGCTATTATTCTTTTCTTAAAATTTTGGATTAATACAAGGGTACATAGCAGTGACATGCCTTTACATAACATTTCTCTGAATCTCTGAGTATTTCCTACGTTTAAAGTGGAATTTCTTAATCAAAATACGTGAACATTTGAAAGGCTATTACCATAAATTACCAGTCTGTTTTCTGGGACATCATTTATCCTCTTACTATTAATAATGCCCCTTACTGCAACTTCTTGCTTTGTATTTTAATTGATATTGATTTGAACACTGAATATAAAATACTCTTAAAATATGTATTCACTATTTACTTATCTTCTATAAATTGTTTATGCCCATTCCTGTGGGTTTATGCATGTGTGTTAATTCTTATTGATTTAAAGAACTTTTATATATAATATTTTAATTTATATAATTCAGTGTATCATGTTAGCACAATCTACCTTATATTATTATAATGCAAGGCATCTATTTTTAGTTTTCATGTACTCAAATATAGCATTCATAATTCAATTTTTTTCATATCTTCAATTAGGAAGGAGTTTCCTCTGCTATGTCAGGGAGAACCAAGAATTTTTTTTTCTTTAGCTTCTGAAAAGACATCAATTAATGACTCTGCCTTTAGTAATACCTAGAAGCTTCATAAGATAGACATGCTTTGGCCAGGCCTGTTTAATCCATACATGAAATTGGTGCTAACAGGATGTACACGGTGTAATGGCATTAAAAAACTAATGAGTCGATAAAACATTTCCTCTACATTTTATCCAACAGTTAAAATTATCCAAAAAGATTGTTCAAATAAATAACATGAAAATGTTGATATGAATTTAGTAGTTTCTTCTATATTTAGGGCCTATGTTATATGTATATGACATAATAAAGACCACACACATATGAATCACATACCAAGATTACGTATATGATTCTATACTTGATCATGTCACCTACAAGGCACTGTCCTGTACGTCCCTGGGTAGGGACACCGAGCTTATGAGAGATCCCACAGTGGGAGGTGGCTGCAGCCCCATCTGCCCTGGCATATTAAGAAACACTCCTCCCTTTTCTTGGCACTGAGCCTCCAAAATAGCAACGCAACCAGCCCTTGGGAGAAAGATGCCCCGTCTGAGACCGGCCCGAAGGCAGGATAACAAACAAAACGCCTGTGTCATACAACCTTCTGGTTAGATTCAGGCACCAAACAGGACACTCCTTTGTGGCGCTCCAGGAATCCTTCAAATTCTTCATCGCTAATAACAAATCTTCCTGCTTCTCTTAAAGCGTCTTCCCCCGAATTCTCACCCTCGATTAAGAGGCACTGGAACACCTGAAAGGCAGAGGGACGTGTGCCTGGTAAAGAGCCTTTCACCTGACTCCACCACACGCCAAGCCTCATCGCTTCTAAGCAAAGACGCCACTCAGAACTAAGGAACATTCAAGGGAGACGTCACTCTGGACTCATAAACTGGTCCTGCAATTTAGAAATATGGTGTTAGAAGCAAGAGCATTCTTAAAATATAAACTTTCAAAAACTGGTCTAGGTTATGTTTGATCTGGTCTTAGAATCTAATATTTTCAGACTACAAAGGACACCTGGATGGTGGACAAAGGACACACGCTCAGTCAAGGACACCAGGACAGGGGACACAGGACACATGGTCAGTCAAGGACACCTGGACTGTGGACACAGGACACACTCTCAGTCAAGGACACCAGGACGGTGGACACAGGACACATGCTCAGTCAAGGACACCTGGGCTGTGGACACAGGACACACGCTCAGTCAAGGACACCAGGATAGGGGACACAGGACACGCGCTCAGTCAAGGACACCAGGACAGGGGACACAGGACATGCGCTCAGTCAAGGACACCAGGACGGTGGACACAGGACACACGCTCAGTCAAGGACACCTGGGCTGTGGACACAGGACACATGCTCAGTCAAGGACACCTGGACAGTGGACACAGGACACATGCTTAGTCAAGGACACCTGGGCTGTGGACACAGGACACACGCTCAGTCAAGGACACCAGGACAGGGGACACAGGACACGCGCTCAGTCAAGGACACCTGGACGGTGGACACAGGCCACATGCTCAGTCAAGGACACATGAGCTGTCAAAAGCATCAAAAATAGACAAGTCATTTGTAATCTCTAAACCAAGAAACACATATTTTGTTTTTGCAGATTTTTAATAAATCCTCCTTTAAGCCTCTGAAGGACACCTGTTTTTAACTTCCTATATATAACATAGTTGTCCAAAACCATTAATATTCAATACTCTTTTAAGTAAATGTGTTTGTGTGTATATATGAAGTATTTTCCATCCTAAGTAATGCCATCATTTGAAAATAAAAACTCAGTCTCAGGAAAGACAGGCCAGGAAGTGAATTGTCCAAGGTGACAAAGGGTGACACAGACAGAACAGAGCCCAGGCAGGTCTAAGAGTTTTCTTATTCTACATAGAGTCTAAATAATGCCATCTCTGAGCTACCCTGACACCTTTAGCCAGGTCAGGGTGAACTTCAGAAGGCCCTGCTAGCCCCTTCTTTGCTGACTGTTCCCATCTCCCCTCTGTGCTCTGGTACTTGGTCCCCTGCCTCCCCTGGCCCAGGGCTCCTGCTGTCTTTGCTATTTGTTCTCTTGGTGTCTTCCTCAATTGACTGCCAGTATCACCAAGGGGCTGCCACTCATCCCCACACCTGTGTCCTGCCAAGCCAGGCTCAGGACGAGCCAGCCCAGCAAGGAGGCAGCACCCCGCCAGGGAGGTTGGGCACAGGCAGAGTTGGACCAAGAACAGGTGCCTGGTTTAGGAGCATCAGGTCACACCAGTTGACATACAGTGGACATCAGTGCTCTGGTGAGGAGATGGTTTCCCAGGTGGGCAGGAGCTAGTTCTCTCTCAGGAAAAGAGTCGGGATCTTGAAAAGGCAAATGTGGAGTGAATCAGGGGAATGTAAGCCAGAGGGGGAGTGGAAATAGGAGAGAGAAGCCGTGAGACAGGAGCACACGGGAACTGTGAGAAGATGCAGGACACTCACATGTGCACACATGTGCACACACACAGATACACACATGCACCAGACACTCACATGTGCACACACAGACACTCACATGTGCACACACAGACACACACATGCACCAGACACTCACATGTGCACAGACACACAGTGCACCAGACACTCACATGTGCACACACACACAGACACACGTAGGACACTCACACATGTGCACACACATGGACACACACACGGATGTACATGCAGAGGGTGCCAAAAATGTATACACATTTTAAGAAAGGAAAAAACTGTATTAAAATGTAATACTCAATATATTCCAAAAACGTTTGCTATGCTGGATGTTGTATCTTGTCTCTTGGTAATTTCAGAACTCAAACATGACTTGAACATTACAATTTTAATACAGTTTTTCCTTCTTAAAATGTGTACACATTTCTGGCACCCACTGTGTGTGTGTGCGTGTATTACCGACATCCATCCCTATACATACACACACATATATATCCATGAGAACAGGATGGCAAAGGAGAAGAGTGAGGGCTGTAGTTTACAGCAAAAAGAGCAGCTCAGAGATGGGCGCGGAGACAGGGAGGGTCCAGGAAGGAGACCAGCGTCTCGGGCTTAGCTCTCTGCCCATGGCCTCGCCTCCCGCTGGAGCACAGTCCCTGCTCTGGCTATGGTACTTCTTTCTTTAGCTTTTTCCCCAGCTCCTTCTAGACTTGGGTGTGTGGCTGACAGTTCAGCTTATTTATATATGTGACCAAAAGTTCAAGTTCAATCTACCTATTTGAATATTCTTAGAGTGAGTAGCATTTCAACTTCTCTTAACCCATTTCCTCATCTCACAGGACAACCCAGGAAACCTACATTGCGTATGCAGAGTGTCCCTCTCCCCATCTGTTGGGAATGCTGACGTGGATTTAAAGAAGTCAACAGAGGCTTTGAAAGAAAAACCCGAGTTAGGGGGCATGCTCTCTAGTCTGGACACAGCGTCCTGCCTCAGGCCTTGCCACCTGCGGAAATTCTTTCTCTCTTTCAGAGCGTAGCCGAGTGTCACCTCTTACATGCAGCCTGTCTCACCTTCCACATGCTCTGAGCACATGTAGCATTATGTCCCTTCAGCTCTCCCAAATCTCTGTTCCTTGCTAGAGCTGAATTCAACATCTCACCTTCAGCTGCATCCACCCTGGGGTCCAGACAGGTGCTGGAGAGCTACACATGACAGCCTGTTGGAAACACACACTGAGGCCCTTCTGCTGTGCCTGCCTGGACCAGACACCCCAGGACAGTGATATGAGTCAAAGTCTAAGAAGCTGCCTTTTTTTTTTTTTTTTTTTGCAGTTTTTGGCCAGGGCTGGGTCTGAACCCACCACCTCTGGTATATGAGTCTGGCGCCCTACTCCTTTGAGCCACAGGTGCCACCCTATGAAGCTGCTTTTCAAAGAGCCTGCCAGAGTTGATTCTAAAGAACAGCCAAGGGCGGGAAACTTGACTGGGAAGTCATTTGTAAGTGCAGCACCTCATGTTTGCTATCTGTGCTGAGCTGGCTTCCGTGTGCATGAACCTGAAGGTTCTAGGAGCTGGTAGTCAAAGTAGCGCTAAAGCATGAGGTTGGGAACAAAGGCTCTATTTAGTTACAACCCGGGGATGACCTGAGCCCTAATGTCCTCTGCTAATTCAGTGGAAACTGCACCATCAGAATTTATAAGGGACCTATATCCACCCACCCATAAACAAGCCAGCAGCTGGAGGAAGAAATGCAGCCTTTACAGGGCCACGTCCTTCAGAACATCTCTGACTGAGCACATGGCACATCTCTGGAACTTTACCCTCCCAGCATTCCAGAAAAGAATCAGTCCCAGGTTTCAGAAAGGAAAATTGTGGCATGAAATGTGTGATTGTAAGGAGAACAGAGGGTACAGCTCAGGACCTGCTGTGGGGCCGGCTCTGTGGGTCCACAGGTCTCTCGTGACAGTGTGTTTTCTGGTTTCTTTGAAGACTGTTTCTGTGGAACGTTTTCTTGATTAAAGTCAGCAACGTGACCTTGGGTACTTACTTTCCAGCGGACGGGGTTTAGTGCTTTAATCTCCTCGTTCATGTCCTCGTCCACGTTGAATCGGTTAATGACAGAATTGATCTTGAAAGCGACTCTGTAGTCCCTGCACCACGCTCTCAGTTTCTGCAGATTCTCCACATGGTTCTTCTTCGCTTGGCCACGGCCAATGAGGACGTTAACGGACTCATCAAAGCTGTCGCAGGAGATGGCCAGAATGTCCAGGAATTCACCTGAGGGACAGTGACCATCTTTAGATTTCCTACCCAAGCGCCCAGGCCTTCATGCCGTGCACACCTCTTTCTGGCAAACCGTGCCTTGCCTGCATCTGTGCTCTAATTTTTAAAACAACACTTTCCCTCACACAAAAGTCACTGAGGTATCAATTAGACTTTGTTCTTGTGTGAAATAAATCTTGATAAAACCACATGTACACATAAGAAAATGATAGGGACACTTAGTCTATTTGCTCTAAAACTGTGTGTGTGAGCCCTTATTAATATATCTGAAGGAAATTTGCCTTTTATCCCAGCACAGAGGTCATATAATTTCGGAGGAAAGTAGGTATCTGTTAAAGGCCTTTACAGTTATCTATGTTTAGTTACAGATTTACTTCTTTTTTTTCCCACCACACAGATAAAATTGCTTTTTCAGAGATACCACATTCCTTAGCTTCTTCCTGACAGCACTTGGATATTTGATTCATAATCTAAACTTTATGACATAGGCTATATGCTACGTCAGCTATGGCTGTGTTAGATGCCAAGAATCCCAGACAAAGGGAAGCCTGGTGTAGGGGTCAGAGGTCAATAGCTTCCTCTCCCACCCCAGACACAGGATGTGAAGAGCTGTGACAGTGGGTCATTTGGGAGCACGCTGGTCTCCCCTTGCTGCTGTCTGTAACCTAAGCACTGTCGTCCTTGTACTCCTCCGCTGTTTCAGACAAGCCACTTATCTCTTAGCAACAGGCATCCCCTCCAGCCGAGTTATTTTTTGCAGTTGATTAAGTCTGTGTTTTCCTACTTATTGTGACTTTGTAGAGTTGACACCTTTTTCTTAAAATTACGTTCAAATTATAGAAGCTAGGAATTCCAAAAATGCTTCAAGCAACTGTTCTAAAACAGTGATTTCAACTCTATTTGGGGGGCTAATTTTATTTTACCCATAGGTAACCTATGCCCCAAAGCATCTGGCACAAACCAGAGCCTAAAAAAGGTAATTAATTGTCCATTATTTAAAACAACTCAAACTACTCTAACAATTTATCTCAAATAAATTCTTAATTGTATGTCACATTGGGGAAAAGGCAACTAGCTAAAACATGCTCTCTAGCCAAACAAAAAAAAGTTTAAAATTTAAAATACAGAGAACTACCAGCTATATTAGTGCTCACCCAGTCGATTTCCAAGTCAGCTGAGGATCTCTAAGTTTATTGCTTGCTGTGTTCTGCCACCTCTCTAGCTTTTGTTATATAACTACAATACCCCCTCCTAATTTTCTCAGCTTTTCTGATAAAATCTCTTATGAAGAGATATTTAAAGGAGCATATCTGTTTGTTCTGTCCTTGCATCTTTGCAGGAGAGCCTAGAGCCTAGATCTTGGCTGACCGCTGCCTACACGGCTGCTCCAGTAGGCTGCATATCACTAACTGGGGCTGTGTGTAAGACTGGAGCAATGGGGCAGATTGAATCAACTTGTCTAGACCTGTCAGGATGGTTGAGCAAGATTCATGGTAGACTTGGGTGCATTGTGGGGGTCTTGAGATTCTATTGCCGTGGCTGGTTACATAGCAATCAATGCTGAAACAAGCAGCCCTGCACAAAAGGCTCAGCCCCAAGACTCTAACGAGCCTGCCTGTACAAAGACATTCCAAACATGTTCCTGTAGTTCACTGCTAGAGAGAAAGGACAACTTGTGTGACCCCAGAAAAGACTCAGAAGCCTGTGTGTGACCTCTCTGGATACTGGTGACATGTGTCTCCATCGGGCTGTGTTTGCTCTGTATCCTTTGCTCAAATGACCCCAGCCTGGAGCATAACTGGCTATTGAATGTTGGGAGTCCTTCTAGCTAAAGACCAAACTTGGACAGGTGTCCTCATCCACCTGAGCACCTGGGACCCATTCCTGGCCTGTGACACCAGACATGGAAAATCAGACAAGCACATGGGCACGTTCTGTTTGTTCCTGACAACATCTAAAAATATTTAAAATTATTGCAAATGCTACTGTGTTTCCCCCAAAATAAGACCTACCCCAAAAATAAGCCCTAGCAGGATTTCTATGCATTTGTTAAATATAAGCCCTACCCCGATAATAAGATCTAGTGATGGGCATTTTGGTGCAGAGCAGTAAGGAAGACTGGAATACCTTTTATCTGCTATAGCTCCTTTCTCCAAGCCGTTGGAACTTGCGCAAGTGCATGTGTGGTAGCAGCGGTCGCAGGCATCCTATTGCGCACGTGCAAACGGCTAGGGGAGAGGAGTTCACCCATCACTACTGCTAGCCCCACCAACAAGGTCAGCTCCCCTGGTCAGTTTCCAGAAGAAGATGACTTAACGATATTTGAATAAATGTAGATTATTGTATTACACTTAATAAAAATAAGACATCCCCTGAAAATAAACCCTAGTGTGTCTTCTTGAGAAAAAATAAATATAAGATAGTGTCTTATTTTCAGAGAAACACGGTAGCAATGGAAGATTTAACATAGAGGGTAGATTTTTTTATATGTCTTTAATGATCTGAGGATCTGGCACATGTTGTACTGAAATCAACTCCAGTTCACGCTTGGCTGTCCACCCGTGGGCTGTGCCAGGCCCGCCCATCCCTAGGCGCCTCTCTTCACAATTTCTTGCTGTCTTTCTAAGGACATGGTTTTTCTTACACTCTCCCAAATTGGCTGATTTGTACCACCTCCCCATATGAATATGTGAACACTTGACCCTGAAACACAGTGACCCCCCGTCTCCCCTCCACTCACCACTTGGACACGCACGGACAGCCCATCTTGGAGGCTCTCGTGGACCAGAACAGCCTGCTGATCAGTCTCTGGCCACACTCCTTCCTCAGCTCTGTTTCCTGTCTCTCTGACTCTGGTTCCCCACGCTGACTGTGTACATCTAAGCCCCTGTTATGTCAGGTGACTCCTTTCACTAGGGTTTTGGTTTTTACACACTGCTTTGCAGTTTCCCTGGATTCTCCTTGGACTGAAACTTTGAATCTTCTCTTCCTGCTAAACCTTTTCCAGACGGACTCTCCTGCCCACACCTGCACATTCGCGCTCCCTCCATCTCACATGGCTTTCCTGTCCACATCCTCGGCAGATTGGAATGGGGGTTCCCTTCAAATGAACAGTTTCAAGGCCCAAACAGCTCAGACAAAGGAAGAACAGAGAAATGTACTCTAAGAGTTAGGTTATAACTGTCGCCTAAATGGTGGTATGAGGGAATAGAGAGAATGCTTTTCAAATGCTTACTGAATTCTAGGTGCTCTGAGGATGTTTTTTTTTATATATAACATATTATATATATATACATATATTACATATGTATACGTTATACACATGTACAAATATATAAGTTACCTGCAAGGAATTCCAGCTATCTTAGGAGTTTAGAATTTAGCCCAGTGGTTCTTATTCCTGGCACACAGTGGAATACCTTGGAACTCCCCACAAAGGCCTGATATAATCAGCCCTGGGTCAAGCCTGGGCCCCATGGAGACACTTTACTACAAAGCTATAAAATGTGTCCATCTTCCCTGCTTGTGGCTAAACTAAGGCTGTAGGTCTTACACTCGCTAAACTGAAACGTGCAGGATGGTCCCTCTGCTAATATGCTCTGTTTCCATCTCTGCAAGCATTTACTTAGAGCCCCACGGAACCAAAACTGCCCTAACACCAGGCACAGCTTGAAAGAAATTAGAATAGGGGAGATTTGTTTTTCCTCCCTCCAGTTCCCCAGCAGGCCTGGCCTAACGCCCAGAATGGTAGGAAGTAAATAGGGGATGGCAGCGGCGGCAGCGGCAGCAGCAGCAGCACAGCCCGCCCCGGGGCGCACCGTAGCTCTGGAACCAGCGCTCCCGGATCAGGCTGCCGTTGCTCACGATGCTGACGCTCGGCAGCTGCAGCTCCTCCTTGCAGAATCTCACCAGCTTGCCCAGGTACTCTCCCCGGTCGTGAATGAACGGCTCTCCGCCCGAAAAGTTGATCTTCTCCATTCCTGGCAGAGGGGAAACACGGATTTCTCCACTTCATAAATATTCATTATTATTTGAATGGCAAAGTAATATTTATTCAATGTCAAAATGATGAAATAAAAATTCCTCACCATCCTCCCCTCCCCTAACTCTGCCGAGTCCCTGACATCAATCCCCCCCCAGGGGGTTGCCCATGTGTTTGACTCAGGGTCTAACCAGGAAAAAAAGTCACTTGGATTATGTGTGTGCGCGTGTGTGTGCATGTGCTCTAGTTTAAAACAGGTGTCCTTGATTTTGTTGTTTTATTTTGTTAAAGACTCACCAGTTTTACCCATGTTCAGGTTTGTGGCTATAGAAAGTTAGGTACTTCAAAGTAAGGAATTAGTTATACAGATGAACGCACTATCTTTGAAGCCAAAGGGTACAGAGAGATTTGCAAGGCAGCAAACCTCTCCTGTCCTAGTCTGGAGGGGCTGTGCCCAGCTCCCAGCTGGAAAACACCGTGGCACATCATTCTCTTTGCCACCCCCTCTCCTGGTCCTGGTTGCCTAGGGTCTTGAATTCTGTGCCCTCCTATTTCTTGAGTTGCTCCTTTATTATGGAAAATTATTTTATAACCTCTCTGAAAAGATATAAAACATGAATCAAAATGAAGACTTGTATGTCTCAAAAGTGCATTTGTAATCAAGAGTTTGGCCAGATGTAATATTCCTGGTGAAATCATCTTTCACTCAGAATTTTAAAGGCATTAATTTTTGCAGAAGAGTTTTAATGAGGTTGTTCAGAAGTCTAACATTCTCATTTATAATCCTTTGTAAGAATTTTAACAGCTTTTTCCATTATCTGGAAGCTTTCTTCCTAAAGTTTTGAAATTTCAAGACAATGGGCCTTAGAAATCTCTCCCTGTTCCTCGTCTGGCCGCTCAGAAGGCTGCCAATTAAAAAACACCTCTTGTCAAGTTCTACTCTCCTCCTTTCTAGAAATTCTATCCCTGGCGTGTTGGAGTCCCTACATCTAACCACTCTTCCATATCATTTTTCTTGTTGTTGTCTATCCCTTCGCTTTGGTCTCATTTTTCTAAGACTTCGCCTTTTAGATTTCCTATTAAAAATTTTAATTTTAGAAACCATTTTTAGATCCCAGATATGTTCATATTCTCATATTCCTCTTTTAGCATTCTACTTTTATTTCACATGTATATTTTTCCCCTTATTTCTTTGCAATTACTAATTATAGATTTGAGTAGGGAAGTTTTCTTCTTCTTCCTGTAGCTTTTCTCTTTCTTTGGTGTTTCTGTTTGTCCATTTATATTTGATTGAGGCACAAAACAATTGCATGTAACAGAAGCGTCTCTGATGAAGGGAGAAGGGGCTGGGCAAAAAAGGAAGTTTTGCTACAGTGTGATGGGGGTGGGGTAACCAAGTTTGTCTATTAGATGATCGCGAAGCTTCCATCCTTGGGCTTCAGCCTGGAGTCACTGCTTTCCAGAGAAGAACATCGGTTTCCTGACTATGACTCATGCACCTGTCGCCTGCGTTCTGGGGGCAGGGCTCTCCCTACCCACTGGGCAGACCTTGCTGACTTTCCCTGGTTTCAGTTTGTCCATTTTCCTCCCTGCTATTCCTGGTGTCCCTGACTATACAACCCTTGGTGGCCGGCACCTTCAGAAAGAAACCTCCTGTCATCTGCAGGAACTGGGGAGAGGCCTTGTCTGAGGGTGGTGGGGTGAGCAATAGGGTGCCTCCTTCCTGCCTGAGGCCCGCCTTCCTAGCATGCAATAGTGCCGATTCTGAAACTTCTTACATTCTGTGGGCCAATCTGCTGCGTCTCCTAAAGCCATTCCCCTGTACATATATCTTGACGCTGCTTTTAGGCCCTAAATTGGGGACAACCACGTGTTGATTTTTTTTATGGGGTGTTTCCTCTTTTAAAAAAAAATATTTTTTACGGAGCAGAGGAGAGATTGGTGAAAATGAAGATAAATGTGCCATAACTAACTAGGAGGCCCAGGATATCAAGACATTCTGCTCTTGACAATGGAATTATCACAGTGAGGTTGAGTCCAAGTCAGTTGGTTCAACTCACCTCACTGTGTCTTTATCAGATTCTCTGTGCCAGAGGTGACATGACAGTAGCTCCAGTCCAGAATGAAGCCCTAGCCAGGAAGCAAGTGGTCCCACCAAGGGACGTTTCCAGTGCCCACTTTGCAGAGCTCTGGCAGTTCTGAGAGCAGACACAAGGTGGCCTGCTCAGGTTAGATAAGTCACGTCTTCCCTTAGAAAACATGGGGAGGAAGAGGGTGACAAGTCCCAGCAACAGGATCAGAAACCCAAGGAGCAATCATCAGACCTGGTAAGACTGGGACGGACACAGATTTGGTCAATGGAATAAGATAGTGATCGACACCAGCTGGAGCAGCAGAGGGGTGCAGGGCACTCATTAAAGAGCAGGCAGCAAAATGTGCCACAAACTTTCCTGGGGACACTGCATGGGTCTATCTACTCAGGAAATTTGGTACCTACTAAGTACCAAACACTGTACTTGGTGGTTTAATTCACTCAGTCTCACTGTCATATAGCTTTTGCAATGCTGTCTTGACTTAGTTTTGAGGCCCTGGCCACAGACAGGTTAGTTCCTCTTTTTGAGCAGCCAGTTAAGTTGACCCCCTCCCCTCCCCTGTAGGACTTTCAGGCTCCTGGCTACTATCCTCTACCCTGTTTATCCCAGGACCTGCGATCAGGGGGCCAGAGCCAGCTCCTATGCCCCAGAGCCTATTGAAATGAGCCAAACTAGAGCACACTAAACCTTCTTGCCCAGCCTAGACTGTTTTCTCCTGCAGAAACTATAACAAAGGCTCTTGCTACAGGTCTCTCCCGCTGCGATGACAACAACCCTGGTGCTGCCTGTGTGGCCATGGGTGGCATGCTGTGCTTTCCCCAAGGAACTGCACAAAAGCTCCTTCTAATTTGCTCTTGATCCACACCCGGCCTCACCAAGCCTCACCCAAGGTGACAAACACTCGCTTAATCCTTAAAATAATCTATGTAGGGAGGAATTATTATTTGGTTTTTGGCTGAAGGAGCTGAGGCCACAGAAGTTCAAACAACATATTCAAGATCACAAGGGTAGAAAAAGATGGAGTTAGGACCCATGCCCAGCTCCAAGGCCTTGGGCGATTGCGAGTAGAGTTGCTGTCCATCCTGGGCTGCCCAGGACTATTCTGGTGATGGTGGATCAGAGAGCACCTGCTGGTTACTTTTAGCACTCCTTTTACTCCCAGCTGTGTCTAGATTGGACAGTGTGAAATTAGATCGCCTCCCGGGTTATGATCCATCATGCTAGGAGGATGCTTCTGTGACAGTAAGCAGTGTTTAAATTTCTAATCACTACCACCACAAAAATGTGTCTGTGGCATGGGAGTAGAGCTTGCTGAAGCCAGGGCTGTGCTCGCTGAGGGACCTGGCCACAATACTCACTACCTTAGTTTCCCAAGGCTTATAAGAGAGTTAGGTAGGGAGTTAAGTCCTCAAAACTGTATTTTAGGCTCAGCGCCTATAGCTCAACCGGCTAAGGCGCCAGCCACGTACACCTAAGGTGGCGGGTTCGAATCCCCAGCCCGGACCC